ATGGATAGACCTCATGTGAAAACTCAAATTAAAGTCTAATAAAGCCAGTGTTGTTGTATCATGTGAACACTTTTAGCTACAAAATTGATTGCATGTTTTAAATGTGTCCAAGTGTCTCGAGGCTGACCTGACCTTCCAGCAGTGACCCTGAGGCTGCTCTGTGTTTGGAGCTCTACACACAGAGACTGCATGAATAATAACACACTAGCTCTGTTTATATGTACACACATGCACACACACATACACGTACACACACAGCTAGGACCTCGAGGCAAACATGGCAACAGTGGATATTATTGGACTCTTCTATAAAAAGATTTGTTTAGTTTTTTCTTTTTTTGTCCACAGTAGCAGAAGCTCAGTACACCATTAGTCCTCCTTAATCAATTGACAATAATGATAATGATGATCAATTTTTATTACATAACATTCTGTACATAGGTGTGTGTATATATAGCTGTGTTTACTACTGCTTATTCTGCTACTAAAAATAATTCTTGCAAGTATTACTCACTCCTGTGCTAATAATAGTACTACACCAGTGTTTCCCAAACGTTTATTCTGGGGACCCATATTTTAAAGTCAATAGGCATTATTCATGAATCACAAAATAAATTTGTGACCATTATTGAACATTAATAAGGATTTTTTATTGCTGACTGAGTGATTGTGTCTTTCTGAACAATTAGTATTACCATATTTTATTAAAAGGCACAATATCAGTAATGTTGAATTTTCTTGTCTATTTTCATACATAAGGTGCACCGGATTATAAGACGCATTAAGCGAAACAAATGGACAACACTTGAAACTTGAGAATTTTTTTATTTCCTATGAGGAGGACTCAAATATAGATTGAGTAATAATGTGTTTAATGCAGCTTTACGCACATTTGTTTATGTTTTACAGAAATGAAACTTAAAACTACATGGCTCATTTGCATAAACTGTAAGAGATTAAAAAAATAAAATAAAGCAGCTATCTCCTTGTGCCCTGATGAGGTCAGCTTCTGCTGGATTAAAGAATACGACTCAGTGGACTATATATGTGTGAAAATCAGTTCAATGTCAGTAAGCACAACCAGAATTAATACATAAAATCCGGTGTACCTTACCGGATTTTAAGGCGCACTGTTGATTTTTCAGAAAATTAAGGGATTTTAAGTGCACCTTATAGTCTGAAAAATACTGTACTCAAGTTTTAAACAAGGGAAAACAGTCATCATTGTTTTCTACAGAAAATTGGTTAGGCAAGAAAGTGAGGAGCGGGGGTCCACGGAAAAGAAGTGAGGATGAGGGTGCAGACCAACTTGCAGATCGTGGCAATGCGACCCACAATAAATCTCTTGTGACCCACCTGAGGGTCACAATCTAGTGTTTGGGAAACAATGTACTAGACCACTTGGGACTAACACTGCTCTATGGATATTAGCAGGTTAGTCAATATCTTAGAACTTTCAATATTTGAATATTTTGAAAAGTCTACCGGAAAAAAATAGTAGACAATGTACTTCTGGAACCAACTCAAAAAATGCTCAAAAACATCCAAAATTGTGTTTTGTTTCATTCACACGTTTGAGTAATCCTTTATTCTTACTCCAGGTCTGTTTTAATGAGGAAATGACATTATAACAGATCAGAAAATAGTGTAACACGGGCCCTTTAAAAAACTCTTAGTGCATCACTTTGCATTAGCAGCACATGGACAGTGACTTCCTTGGACACGTGCTTCTTTAAATCACGTTTCCTTCTCTCTTTATCCACAGTGACAGGAGCTCCCTGGCTTTATATTGTCTTTCTGAATCGATAGTTTTTGATGAGAGCATTAGAGGAGCTCAGAGGACAGATAAATATAAGCAAGTGTCCGCATGTATCCACTAATGATGTCCTTATCTGAGCTACACCAGACACAGCCCCCGATCCCCATCTCCAACACGAGCCGCTCTAACAGGCTGCTCCCACCGCAACATGCTGTACACGATCAGGGAGGCTGGTGCAATGTCAGATTTAAGGTGAATTATGGAGACACGGAACAATGTGAGCAAATTCATGGGTTTCAAGCTATGGGGATGGTTCTCTGACTAGGTATACGACAGGATAATTTGGTTAATTGATAATCATGATTATTCAGGTCACAATAGAATCGTAAGCTTGGTTCATTAGCATTCTTTGCAGCATTAGGATTCGTTTGCTCAACGGTAGCCAGGTACTTTTTTTCATTTAAAGGGCCCATCTCATGCAAAATAATATCTTCTGCACATATACAAGCACAATTTGGGTTTCGGAACATCCATTACGCAATAGTTAGGAAATCTTATTGATTTCTTGGAGGCAGTCACAAACCAGGAACTATGAAAGGCCGACTATTGCTCATCCCCCCGCCCGTCCTGAGAAAGCACAGGCTCCGCCCTCCAAACTTGACGTAGGCGACGAGTGAGCCGCTCTTCCTCCGCCCATCTCAGGGAGGGAGGGGGGAGACAGGCGTGCACCCTGATAGTGGCAGGAATAAACTTTTATTCATCATGGAGATACAGCGCGTTCAGCCGCATGTGTTGGACCCGGAATCGGACAAGGACTTGGAGGTGCACGCAGCTCAAGCACCGCATCATAGGTGCAGTTACCGCGTCATCGTTGTAGCAGCTTTAGTTCGTTGTCATGTGGGAGGGTGGCAGAAACACGCAGCAATTTATTTAAAAAATGCCGAATCAATCTAAAAACCACTTTGGAGACATATACAAGGCCCAGACATCACTCTTAGAAGGTAGAACACTCTGAAAAGTAAATTTTACATGAGATGCGCCCTTTAACCAATTGCTGTTATTTGGTTGTGACGTATGTAATGCGCCGCTAACGGGACTAACTGGTATATTAAGCTTTTCCCAAATCTCATAGGAAGTCTTTCCCCTTGATAAAGTTCCGGCTTTAAATCCTCGATCTTGGGAATTGTTGCCAACACAGAATGTCTGGCTTCGTCTACGTCCATCTCAACTGCTTTGTTTACTGTTGTGCTGTACCACAAAAGCGACCCAGACAGGCGTTTCAGTTTGACGCCATGGCTTCACAGCTATTCACTGATTGGCTGGTTTTGCAAACCGTCTAGTGTATTCTGATTCCTGACCAATCAATCAATTTTTAAATCAAGCAAACAAAAACAAAAAAACCCTCCCACACTCCACCCCTCTCAACAAAGACAAGATTATTAAATGTTAAGTACTTTTCTGGTAGTGGGTCTCCAAGCCAGTCATTTTCATAAAGTTCAGTGTCATTCAGGTAATATGATCTGTCTCTATGGAGATATGTATGTGATGCCACCGGTCAAGTTACAGGTCAAATCTGTGGAAAGGGGACCCGTACTAAATGTTTTTCAATGTATTTTTGAGCCAGTAAACACTTCTAATTGAATAAAAGCTAGATAGATATGTTTTAATGCCAATAGCAATAACTGATTTAGTTTTTTGGGGTGAGGACTGATTATTAAAGAAATATGTAATTTTTATTTATTTATTTTTATCTGTAAAAGGAGCAGGGTTTATATAAGATTACTATAAGATTTATCTTCTTCCTGTTCCTTTTGTTCATGCAGTAAAGACAAGGCAAATAATGGTTGGAATATGTATATTATGTTAACAGGCTCTAGTCACGCTTTCATCACAAACCAGGAAGACGTTTAGAAACATGCGATTACAACTTCCGGCGGGCTGTGTTCACGGAAGTAAGTCTGACACCATCTAGAAAAATGAGAAAATGCCCAGTTTCTTCATCTCCATGTTATTGTAGTGTTCCGTTATGTTCGGCTAATCAACAATTCCAACCATACCTCAGTTTTCATCATTTCCCGAGGGATGAGGGGCCAAATTCAAGATGATTCCAAACAGTACATACATCTGCAGTCTTTATTTTACCACTGATCACATTTACTTCAGTGGGTTTGATTACAGCCGGTCGGCGAGCCCAGTGTCGAGAACTACACCGGACGTTGTCATCGCATGATTCCAAACGTCTTCCTGGTTTGTGACGAAAACGTGAAGACAGCCTATTGTCACATTTTGTTGTTGTTGTTCTCTTTAAGTTGACAACAAAATAATAGCATGAGCAATAAATACATAAATGAATAAATAAGACAAGTAGATGGCATACCCTCAACTGGAAAAGTTACAGAATGCATCTTTAATATTCAGAGAGTTGATTTCAATAAGCTGGTGACCTACTAGAGCAATGCAAACATATTATAATAATGACAATTTTGTATTTCACTCTTATGGGAAATGGTGTCAGTAGCGATTCAATCTTATTTTTCTTGAAGGTGTTATTACGCAAAATTCACTCTTATGAGCTTTAAGTCAAGTAGAATGTTGTTATAGCTGTCGTCAGACTCAGCATCAGTTCCAGTTAGAATTATTCTGGCCTTTCTGAATCCCGACAGGATTCTCTCTCACTCCAAACTTTCTTTCTGCTGCTCGATTACCATTTTTGGCTGCATATTTCACTACTTGCAGCAGGACAGCGTTTTTTTCTGCAGGAGACATGCACAGTAGAGCCAAGTGACAGTGGTACAGGAGAAATAGTTGTAGCAGATACTGACTGACACAAGCCGAGAGCCTTTCACGTCTGTCCATGTGAAAATGTTAATATATAAGTCGCACCGAAATATAAATCGCAGGAGACATCAACACCATGAAAAAAAGTCTGACATATAGACCAAAAAATACGGTACATATAGTAGCTTTAAGCCATAAGATTAATATTGTATATTTTCTGAGCCAATTTCTACAAACAATGATAAGGTTCAACATTTGTGAATGCTAAGTTTGGTCATTTCAATAACAGTAAATCTCCCGTAGAGTTAAACAGGCCCCTGCTCTCCATCTGAAATCATGACATAATCACATTTTAGAATATGATTGTAACCTATTGGACAACAAAATGCCAACCAAAAAATCTATTTCAATGTCATTATGTTCGATACAGCCAAATATATTGATATATGTTTGTTTTTTTCAGGATTCGACTACTGTGACCCCGGTGACCTTAACTGTTGACCCCAAAGGATACTTCCTGTACTGGACTGATCAGAACAAGGTAAGTGTCAGTACTGGCACAACACTTCGTCAAACAACCGGTTGTGTTATGTGTATTGTGGGTGTTTATCAAGCCAATTTGTTAGTAGGCTTACGAGATTTTTATATATTTTTAAATTTGATTGTTGCTGCTTTGCCTATAAAAGAAATGCTATGGAATTACACATTACATTTACATTTGTGGGGTAACACTAACAGTGGTGTAGTAGGTTAGGCAATTGTCAATGAACCAGAAGGTTGCTAGTTTAAATCCTAGTGTATCCCTTTCTTAGACAGTTCACTACCACCTCAGTCATAGTAATACTTTTGATTGTGATAGGAATTGCATCTAGCATCAAAATTTGTGAACAGATGTGTGTTCTTAGTAAACATATTGTATTATTTTATTGTCTTTAATAACACTACTGTCAACAGGCGCTATCAAATTCATTATAGCTTTTTAATATTATTGTGTGTTTTGTCATTTAATCATATATTGCTTGATTAGCAAATATAATTCTCAAATTACAAGTTAATTATGTGGTTGGACAAAAGTGGTTTGGGGTTCAGACTATGGAGGAATACATTGTCTTATTTATATGAATGTAATAAATACTGAAATATATTTTGATTTGTGTCTTGAAAAAAAAAATCAAATAGAAGAAAGACTGAGCAAAACTGACTCACAGCAGATTGAATCTATGTCACTCTGAGGCTATGTTTATATGATGATGGTCTGAATAGAAGACGCAAAAGTGGTGTCGCGTCTTCACTTTTTATTGTGTTGTTTAGACGAGCGTTTTCGGGAGGAAATCTGCATGCATACGGTGACGCAGAAGTGTGTGGAATTTGATTGTGTATGCATGCCAGGCGGTTAGGTGGTGATGCTAGGTGGTGATGTACGTAACGTAAACACGTACGTGACATGAGCAAATCTGACCGGAGTTTTGAGTCTTGGGCAGTGTAGACAGAAACGCTACAACTTTTCCACTCTGGAGGGTGGTTTCAGATTTTAGCGTTTTTAAACCCCAAAAACGCTGTCACCTTCTAAACAAAAGGCATTTCTGATAAAATATTTTGTCATTTTTCTTGTGTCTCGTGTAAAATAGGCCCTGAATTGAGTTGAATTGAATCTGGGATGGCTCTCACTGAAAGACATCGTAAATACACATGCTGAGGTACATGCTGACTATTTGACTGGTCAAGACGAGAAATCAAACTTTAGTCAAATATAGTTGAGAGAAAAGCACCGAGACCTACACAAAGCACTTATTTTATGTGTGAATTTCACAAACTAAATAGTTGTATTGATGCTAAAATAGGCTGAATTCTGTCGGCATCACCATGTTTGTTTTGTTTTGTTTTTTTTGGACTCTTCACTAGAGCCCGACCGATATAGATTTTGTTGTTGCTGATATGATACCGATATAATGGGAGTTGGAGCTGCCAATAGCCGATATAATCGCCGATATATTTAGTGATGTAAAAATGTACTGTACGTCTTGAATTATTAAAAAAAAAACTTAGGTTTGGCTCTGGTGGTTTTTAAACTGGGTTTATTTAGGCAACATTTATTGTTATTTTGCCTCTTTACATGATATGTCATAGGACTAAAGCAGGTCTAAGGCAGGACTACACCAGAACTGAACCAGGACTAAATACAGTTCTAAACCATGTGTAAAACAGGACTACACCAGAACTGAACCATGACTGAGTGTCGGGACTCGGTCTCTATCTCTCTCCCTCTCTCGACCCCAAGATTAGTCCTGGTTTCTTTATTTTATGCTGAATATATATATATGCAAGTTTTTTCTATCCTATGCACACGCATATTTTTTAAAGTTTCGTTTTTATAATGAGGTATAACATGCCCACGTGAAATATCGGCCCCTATCAGCAAGCATATCGGCCGATAATATCGGCCAACCGATATATCGGTCGGGCTCTACTCTTTCACCTTTGACTTCTGCACAAACCTCAAAGCTGCGATGCGATTGGTCGCTCTCCACCTGTCAAGATGGATTCTCATGAGTTTGTGAACTGAGGAGGAAAAACAGATGATTCATTTTTGGTCATATATTAAATTTCCCTTTTTACTATAACATCTTTCTGTCAGTCTGCGCACTTGTGAAGACTTATAATATTCTCACACACCCACAAGTATTACGGTTACGACAGACGATGAAATTTAAACCTGGAAGTTGAGCCTCAAAAACCAATACCAGCATCTTAAGATAACGTCCCTCTCTACCCGTCTTTGTTTATTTTGAATGCTCCTGCTGCCAGTGAGAAATGGAGACAAAGCGCTGTCTATCCACAATAAACACAAGGATAGGGTTACGTTTTTCAAATTGTGTATTGGATTTCCACAGGATTTAGGACGTGTGTAGAAGAAAACACTGAGGTTTGATCGAACTGCTCAAGTGTCTAGTTTTAGTGCAGGAATTGCGTTTCTATCACCATGGAAACTACTGCGTGTCTTTGGTCGCCTGCTCCTCTGTTAATTATAGTTGTATGACCAGGTCTGTGGGAGGAAGTCTCGACAAATGAATGAGGAGAATATTCGAAGGTTGAATTTTAATGTCAAAATTATACGCTAGAATTCGCATATATCCAAACTGAATATCCGCTTGTGTTGGTGGTTGAAATTTAAAACCAGCTGGTCTATTTCCTCCTTTAAACAAATGAGTTATGTTATAAGCAGGATATTTGGAACTATTTGATACTTTGCAGCGGATATTATCAACATTGTGTGGGGATGTGAAGCTAACTAAAAGCACTACTCTGTCTGAGCCTCTACTCAAGTTACACTAAATCCGAGCTTTATTTTAACACAGTCTGACCAGAAAGAGCTGACTTGGTTGGAACTACAACAAACAAGTCTCTCACACATAAAATTACAATCACAAGCTAGTTCATAGTTTTTCAGTTAGTCACTCGCACCTTTTTGTTGAAAATCACACTTCTAAACACGACCATGAAAAAGTGTTGTTTAAATCCATTTTGTGTTTTTTTTTCACAAGTTTTCAGCTTTTTTCTCCATTGAGATGTTATTGCTCTGTCTGCAAAGTTTCACAGTCTGATATTAAAGCTTTCTATCTTCATGGAGATCAAACCAGACCACGTTACAGGGCAGATCTGTGGAGAGGTGACCCCGCTCACAGCCAGAATGCTTTTTTCTAGGTATTTTTGAGCTATAAAACCACCTGTAATTGAATAAATGTAAAGTAGAGCTGTTTATATCATACTGTGGAACATTCCAGGCAAAGGATTGACATCCATAGAAACAAGCAGGTGACAGACCCTCCAGTTACATACTGTAGTGCAGCTTTAAAACATGCCTTGAATGAAAGCCTTCGCTCAAGTACAATAGTGTTCAACAGTGACACAATTTCCATGCACAGACTTGGAACCAGGCCCTATCTCCAGCCCTGATAGGAGCAGTGTTGGGAAAGGAACAGAAATCTGAAGAGCTGTACCTGCCGTTTCACCTGACACCAATGAAAATATAATGTAATTCTGCTTAGGGTTGTCAAAAGTATCGAAATCAGATACTAATCGATCCTTCAACTCATATCAAAACCAGATACTCATTGGAACAGGTATTGATTCTGAAAAAGCCCCATTCATTGGTCAGAAATTAACTTTTTCTGAATGTCTTTAGAATGATCTTGAGCTGTATGAGAAGTATAAGAGCACATAGATTAGTACAGACCCAACTCAAAACATGCTACAGGTCTCCAGAACAGTTGATAGTCAAGGTCAGTGCAATACAGTCAATTCAATCTTGTGTGTCTTAGGCAAGACACTTCACCCACATTGCCTAGTATGAAAGTGTGTGTGTGTGTGTGTGTGTGTGTGTGTGTGTGTGTGTGTGTGTGTGTGTGTGTGTGTGTGTGTGTGTGTGTGTGTGTGTGTGTGTGTGTGTGTGTGTGTGTGTGTGTGTGTGTGTGTGTGTGTGTGTGTGTGTGTGTGTGTGCGTGTGTGCGTGTGTGTGTGTGTGTGTGTGTGTGTGGTGTGTGCGTGCGTGTGTGTGTGTGAGTGATGGTGGTGGTCGGAGGGACCGGTGGCGCCGAGTGACATGGCAGCCGCGCTTCTGTCAGTCTGCCCCAGGGCAGCTGTGGCTACAATAGTAGTTTACCGTCACCAGGTATAGAGCAAATGAATAATGCTGAATAATGCTCTGTAAAGCATCTTTGGGGACAAAAAATGTCTGTGAAAAGCGCTATATAAATACTTACTTACTTACTAGACCCATGGACCACTAAGGAACCTACCTGAACCACTGAGGGATTACACAGATATAAAACCACATGGGAATACAAAATAAAGTACTATTATTTAATGTTGAAAATCACATTCTACTCAAAGAAAAAAAGTGTTTTTTGTCATCATTGTGGTATCAGAATCAGTACTGAGTGTCGAGTCTATTCCTTAGTATCAAAATTGAGTTTGTTCAATAGGTTTGGATTATGTTCTAGAATTTCATTATGGCAGCATTTCATCCAGAGAGCGGAGGCCAGTGTAACTCTATGGGGGATTTACTTTTATTGCAAGAAATGACCAAACTTAATTTTCAACATTTGTGAATCTTGTCTTATTGAGTTTACAGAGATTGGTTCCACAAACTTGCAAGATTAAAGTTCCTATATTACACGAAATTGACTCTTGTGAGCTTTAAGACATCTTGTAATGTTGTTACCTCCTCAAAAACAGAGCTGGGGTTGTGTTTTGTTTCATTCACACATGTTTGAGTAACCCTTTGTTATTAGTCTGTCTGTATCTCCAAATCTCAAAATGCTCTGTTCCACCTGTCATGTAGTGGTAGTTTTCAAGTTAACAGCTCAGTAGATTATCAATTCCAGATCTGAAATCATTCAAGTCATTCTAGTGAAGGAGTATGGAGTTTAAAAACACAGTGAAGAACTTCCTGTATGACATCACAAGGTAGAACAAAGTGACTTGAGTTTGAGAACAGAACTCATTACGTTTGCACTGAAACAAATCACTCTATCATTGTAT